TTGTACAACTTCATAATGTCCACACAAACTAGCCTTGATGTCATGTCAGCAGAGCGACTCCCCGAGGAAAAAGTGGCAAAGAGCACGGTGGGTATCAAGAAGGCGGAAAACCCCTTACCAGAATCAAAGGAGTATAATCATATTGATCTTTTGCATTAATGTTTGCCCCCTCTTGAATCATTTCCTGACATAGCTTGAGGTCTCCTCTTCTGCAAGCGTCGCATAGTCTCTGGAAATTGATGCTGAAGTCGAGGGGATTATCTTCCTTGAGAATACCTTCTTCGATCAGCCTCTTCTCGTCGTGGAGACTGAGCTCGAGTTGGTCCTTGCGTAAGAGTCCATTGGCACTCATGGTCCCGAAGTGATGCGAGTGAAACAAAGGCGGCAAATGGCAAACGGCAAATGGTCCAGGTGGTAGAAAGGCGTCGAGAGAAATGAGAAGCAAGAGGGAGTCGAGCGACAAATAACGAGCGTCATTTCCCAATAATTTTATATCGCCGGATTGTCGGCATTAAGATTGATTAGATAAGATGGAATTCTTTCACGTGATGTGTCCCTTTTCGTCTCGCACACTGCCTTTGTGCCCCTATGAAATTTAGCCATGCAAGGCTGTATGTGTGTGTGTGTGTGGCCCAAAATTTCCCGCCCCCCTCTACCAATCTAGGAGGGAAAAGTGACACTCACCACTACCACTGCACAAAAGTCGACAGGGCCAGCACAATATTTCACCCGGCCTAGCCAAAGCCACTTTGAGGCCAGGCCTACAACCTCGCAGATTCATCTTTCGCAGCAGGCCAACACTTGTCGCTGCCCAGCATGGCTGAACAAGACGCTTTCCTTCATCTCACCCGCCCTCTGGGCCCCGTCGCAGTTGGCGCACAACCCACCACCGCCCCCCTCCGCGTCGTGATACAACCACAAGTGAGTGCAGAAAGAAGACAGTTCCATGGCGGGACAAACTGGCTGATACCCTCCCCCCAAAGGCTCTCTTCTCGATACTAGACCACTGCATTCGCCGCCCACCAGACCAGCAGAGGGTCATCGGCACCTTGCTTGGTACCCGCTCCGACGCAGATGAATCCCAGGTCGTTGTCCACTCCTCCTTCGCCGTCAGCCACACCGAGACGACCGACCAGGTAGAGGTGGACATGGAATACCAAAAGGCTATGTTGGCGCTGCATCTGCGTGCGAACCCCAAAGAGGTCCTGGTGGGGTGGTATGCCACCAGCTCAGAGTTGAACACCTTTTCCGCCTTGATCCAGAACCACTACAGCAGCCAGGGCGAAGGCACCTTTCCATACCCGGCGGTCCACATCACGGTGTCGTGCCAGCCAGGCCAGGACATCGAGGTCAGGACGTACATTTCCTCGCCCGTGGGAGTAAGCCCCGAGAGAGCGGCCGACTCGGCGGCGTTCATTCCGATTCCCTACACTGTCAATTACGGCGAGGCCGACCGCGCAGGTCTCGAGGCAATTGGCTACGCAAAAGACTCGGAGAGCAGGACGACCACGATCCTCACAGAGATCGAGAGTCTCGAAAAGTCGCTCGAAGACACACTGGGCATGCTGGATCGAGTGGGCAAGTACGTGGAAAACGTCATCGAAGAAGAGACAGAGCCGTCTACCGCGCTGGGCCAATTCCTCCTCAACACGCTGGCCCTGGCGCCGAAGGTCGACCCCGTCGATATCGAAAAGGACTTCAACAACCATATTCAAGACGTCTTGACGGTGTCGTACCTTGCCAACATGATTCGCACACAAATGGACTTGTCCAACAGACTGGCAACATCAGCATTGACGATGGGCGGCGGCGAAAGTGCCACCACAGAAAAGGAAGGCCGGGGCGATCGCAGGCAGAACCGACAAGGTGGACAGACGAGGCAGAATAGGACAGAGAGCTTTTCTGTTGCTAATGCTTGAAAGGATCTCATGTGATGAAGGCAGCCTGTCTGAGACGGGTCGCTCTACATGAGGGTGGTTACTGCATTGACTCCTGCTATGTAACGGGAGCATCAATTCGTCCCAAAGGGACATCAAAAGCAACCTGAGTGATGATTGCATGAAAGAGTAGTCGAGATCTGCTCAAGACCACGCACGCACTCTGTCTCTGGAGGAGGAAATGACTGCAGAGCGTCATTCCGATCGACAGAGCCTCGCATCTGATAGCAGCCCACACACAGCAGATACCTGGGCACATAGATTGCCCGACTCCGGTGGGGATTTTCACGAATAACATGGTGTATTGACTCGTCGTTTCCAGGGCGATTTTTTCCGGAACAATTTCATAGTGCCGTGTAAAGGGCCGGTATGCTGGACGTATAGTCGTTGTCGTCCTGGTATGAGTATATCCAGTAAATCTGGATGGTCAGATGGCTCTCGTTCTCCGCAAAAGTCGCATGATGTTGTGTGCTCTCAATAGAAAGCCATGAAACATCAAGTTTGGCCTGAGGGAAAGTCTTCACCCCAGATCGCTTTTTGCCCGCTTGCTCGCCCTCTCCTCGCCACTCTCGTCCGGGCCAGGCGACCTCTCCTTAGCGTTCACCGCGCCATTGACCAATTCGCCGTCCACTTCCTCGATATCCCTCTTCTTCTTTCTCCCCCTCCCCCTCCCCTTCCCTTTCGACGTCCCCTCCTCGCCGACAACCTCTCCCAAATTCACCAGATCGTCCACCGCCAGCTTCTGCCCCTCCTTGCCCTCGGTCGTATCGAAGAGCTTCTTCTTGTTGTCAATCTCCCTCTTCTTCTTGAACATCTCCTGCACCCTGCCCAGCTTGATGCTGTCTTTGCGGATGGCGAACTCAAAGTCCGAGACCTTCAGTTTGGCGCGCCCGGAGTAGACCGACACCCCGACGGCGTTGTGGCACGTTTCGATGATGAAGTCGGTCAGGATCTCGTCGAGGACGCGTAGCGTCTCGGGAAAGGGTTGTGTGAACGGCGTGGGTGCGTGGGTCGTGTTGGGCGTGTGGCTGGAGGACAGGTATTGTCGCGAGGATGCGCCGAGGGGTTTCGCAATGTCGGGGTGTGTAGGTGCGCCGTATGCGTACAGAAGTGCCGCTAGTTCGGGGCCAAAGTTGAGGCTGGTCTTGTGCCGGCCGGCACGGGCGCGGGGTTCCATTGCTGCGAGAGGCAGTGAGATCAAGGAGGGATGGTTGACGAGTGAGCAGGGATAGTTAGATTGTGGTGGAGGACAAACGACAGTCCGGGATGGAAAGTACAATATTGATGGGATGGATCAGACAGACCACGAGCATGGGCACAGACCAGCAGTGCCAAGACGGGGTTGATATGTAAGAGAAAGAATCCTGAGATAGTTGTATTTGTAACGTTGAAATCGTTGAGCGAAGAAGGCCGCCGGAGTCTGAGATGGAAGTCACTCCACAGGCGAGGCTGAAACTGTTCTGTCCAAGTACCGCGCAAGAGTGATCTGGACTTTCCCCTGTCTAGAGTATCATCACGTGATCTTCAAAGCAGCGGCTACATGATTCCTCTTCCGGTTAGTCTCCCACGCCTCCGTCTTGCGAAAACCACCTTTCAACATCTCGCCCGAACTGCTTCCTGAATACCGAGTACTCGGTCTAGATAGATGGAATCACTCTCACCATTTCACGACGACACCCTTTTGAGCGAGCCGATCCATAACATTGTGTCCTGCATTGACAAAAGTGTGGGGGTGCGGGTTGTGTCCATTTCCAGCCCGACTTAGCTGGTCGAATCTGGGTTTCCTTCCACGAACAAACAATGGTACGTCTCTCACCATGGCATTTTATCCCTCCGGATGGGAAACCTTCTTTACAGGACGGGTTTCCCCCTTTCCCCAGAGATTTATGGAAAAGACGAAAGAAAAAAAAAGGGGGAGAAGGGGAAGAACACACGGGGAGAGACAGCGAGATCTTCCCAAAACTCATTCTAACACACACCACCTCCCGTGGCCACCCACACATATATAGACCGCCATATTCAATTTCCAGTCTCTCCTCCTCGTCATCCTCCTCATAATCTGCACCTCGACGTACGTGCACTCGATGGCTCCGGGCGTCATGGACAGGAACAAAGACGGGTAAGTCGAAGGGAAGGGAAGGGAAAGGCACCTGTTTTTCCTTTTCCGACCACCCTTGCTAATTTGGCAAAACCCCCGGGGTGTCACGAGGTATTAGCGTCATGGGTATATTCTGGAAATGTGCGCGGGTAGGCGAACGCCTCAGTCCCTACGTCAGCATCTTTTGCGTTGTCATGGCTGTAAGTTGCTGCTTCTGTCTCTCTGGATCTTTGCAGTGCATCCATGACTTACCAATTGGCGACCAGTGCTCGATCATGATGGGTTACTAAAGTGGTGGACGAGTTTTCATTTTCTTGCGCGATCAAAGGGGTCTCTCGCACCGAGCCAAAGTCGAACCCCAGCTATGCATGCATGGGGTTAGGAGTCATGTTACCTGGCGTGTCACGAATGGCGATTCAAAGGCCAGGGATCCGGGTTTCAGGCGGCAGGACGGAAATTATATCACTTCGACATAGGACAGAGTTCCATTTATGTTGGCGGTCAGCCTGCTCTTTCAAGAGGTATATTAAGTCCTGCATGTGCCATGCTCGCTCACCCCCTGCGATAGCCATGTGAACTTTGCAATAATCCTTGTCACAAACCATATAAACGACTCCATGTCAAGTCAAGAAGAGCTACATGCACCATGGGTATCACAACGTAATTGGTTTCCGACCCATGCAACCAACAAGCACAACGCCATCTTAATCCTTTGACGTCAATCACCGGATTCTTCACTAGACCAGAACTGCGGACTCGTGGTCTGTGCCGCTCTGTTTTTATGTTGTGTGGCTTTGTACCGCATTCTTCGTGGCCATATCGCAACATCTTGGATGTTCCCTGGACCAAGACCGAAATCTCGACAAGGATTGTTGCATTTCCTAGTATTGTATTACTAGCCCTGTTCGCTTAGTGCGCAAACCACTTGTCCCGTCGAAGGTCTCCTATGCAGGTGTTTGCAGGAGTCATCCTCCTTTTTTTGGCTTTCTAGCCGGTTTTAAGGAAGGTTCCACGTCAAATAGATCCCGAGAATCCAGGGCCTTGCTTGCACACGGCCGCTTAGCATTGCGAGGGGGAGGTCTTTTCGGAGTATCAGGGTCACTGGGTTCGTCACCCTCGGAATCCGGTTCGAATTGAACGCCTTTTGCTTGTAACTTCTGAATCGCCACGGCCTGGTCAAATTCCGTGGGTTTAGTCTGTGTGTTCTTGCCGGACACTGGACGAGTTGGCTTAGTATTGTTGGCAGGAGGAGTCACCAGGTTTGGCCCAGGAGCAGATTGATTCGATGGAAATTTGGCTGGATCCGTCACAGGTGAAAAGTTCTCTGTCGTGAGTCCATTTGTCAGCTGTGGATGTGAGGGTGAGGGTGAGGGTAAGCGTGGAGTGATTGAGATATGCTCATCTGGCTTGCTCGTAGGCCTTGAAAGGGCAGGACTAGAGCTCAATGGTTCCTTTTGACCCTGTGCCAAAGGGCGACCATGTGCTGACGCTGCTTCACGCTTATCACTTCCCTTCCCTTTATCTTTCCCGCTTGTAGGCCTTGGACGGGTAGAACCAGCACCCAGTGATTTTTTTCGACTCGGAGTCGAAGGCTGAGATTGTGCTGACGCTGCTTCACGCATTTCATTTCCCTGCTCTATATCTTTCCCGCTTGTAGGCCTTGGACGGGTAGAACCCGAGCCCAAAGATTTATTTCGACTTGGAGTCGAGAGATGCGAAGGCGAGGGGTGAGACTGTGCTGGCGCCGCTTTGTACTTTTCACTTTTTCTCCCGTCATCTGTCCCGCTTATAGGCCTTGAACGTAGAGGACTAGGGGCCAGTGCTTTCTCCCCACCCCGACTCGAAGAATGCGACTGTGCTAATGCCACTTTGTACTTTTCATTTCCCCTTTCTTCGCCTGCCTTGTGACGCTTCACAATAATGACCCCCTCGCTCTGAGTCGAGAAATTTGCGTCTAGAGCGAACTGAGATTGAGCGTCGGTCGAGCTCTCAAGCCGAACATCTGACCCATCTTCTGTTCTCTCAGGTACGATATTCGTCTGACCTCCGCTAATGACCTCTTCGAGCTCGGCTTGCCTCTCGTCACTGTCATCACGGCCAGCAGTCTGGACTTTCTGTACTTTCGGTATGGCGATGGTCTGAGTAGTGTCTTGAGTCGAGTTTGTAACAGGCGCTTCGTCCTCAACGGCAGAATTAAACGCGTTGTGCATGCTGCTGGAAATCTCCTCCATTGGGGCCCGTGCCTCGGCTCGAATTTCAACAGCTTCTGGGGTTTCTCTGTATTTAGCATTTTCTTTTGCAATACCATAAAGTTTGACACCTTCGGCAGGTGGTCGTCCTTCAAGAAGCCCAGTAGTCACTGCGGAAGCCTCGTGATCCTGGATGGACGCCGGGACGAACAGGGCATGATCGTCCAAAGGGAAGTTATCGTCCGTCATCCAAGACGATACAACAAGTTCTGTGGGGATCGGGTTAGCGCTCTGGACAGTGAGGAACTCAATGCTCGTACGCGATATCATTAAGGGTAGTTTTGCTTCTTGCTCGGGATCTGGCAGATTGTCACTGGCCCTGGTATGTTGCATACCTTTTGCACGTATTCGAGTAGACGTCTCTCGGTGTGGGGATAAGATCTGGGAGCCCTGTGTAATAGCATTGGAATTTGTCGAAGATTTCGAAGTCTGATCGTCATCGCCCTGCCCTAGAGGGGACATTGTACGTCCATTTTTTGCTGGCTTCTGTATTGATGCCGCCTGGTCAACTGTGTCCGGAACCTCTGCTCGATTACTGGAATCATCATGTGCCTCTTGAGTCTCGGCCTCAACGCTGTCCTGGAGCTCGTTGTTTCTAGTCGGCTGGCGCAAAGCCTGAATAGCCGTATTCACCTTCTCCTGTTGGTAGCGGAATCGCTTTCTTGAAATGAACAATGAAGCTTCTGTGGTGGAACGCTTTAGAGGGTTAGGGGTCATCACACATGGTCGAGTGCGCGGAGCCGATGCGTGGGCCTTTGCACCATGACGTTCTGTTCCAATTTCCACTAAATCCGGGACGTCTTCGTCGTCGGAAATCGTCACCACTGTCGGTGATGGAGGTGATGGAGGTGATGGTCTGTGATCATCTGTATCTTCGTCGTCGGAAATCGTGATTGTTATTGGGTCCGGACGTGGCAAATCCTCGTGCCTGATGGAACACCGGGCGCAGCGTAGGACTGAACCTACAATAGATTTTCCGCACCCCTCACATTTTCTCAGCCCTGTAGCTTCGGTCGCCATTGTTATACCTTTTAGGGGGTTTGTGGAGTCGGTTGGAAGGTCCGGTGCCTGTCGTCGGCTATCTGGTCTTGGATGGTGCCAGTACGCCGATCCGCCACGTCGAGCTCGTCTCTTGACGACAGCTGGTGCAATTGTTGCAGGAGACGGTACCTCATGCTCTGTAACAGAAGACGGCACCCCATGCTCTGTAATAGAAGACGCCGATACGGAGCTGGTGTCGGGCCTTGACGGAGAGGCGAGCGCCGCTTCAGTCGGCCTTTGGCCTTTGGCACCATCAGCCCGGGGCAACTTATCAGTTTTTGACAAGTCTCTTCGCCTTGAGCGCGGCTGATTTGTCTTTCCGAAGCCACCACCACGAGATCTGCGAGTGCCATTTTTTGCCCTCTTCCGCGGATCTAGACACGATATGCCGGTCCATGAATGCGTATAGGGACATGAGTCCCCCCATTTACAAAAGCCCTCTTCCCATCGAGGGCAAATGAACTGCTTCAGGGACTGCTCTCCCGGTGGTTGTGGCGGCTGTTGTTTTGTTTCTGGCTCCCATTGAACCACGCCCGTGTCCTCATGGGCATAGAGACAATCTTCCGTCTTTGGACAACGGCCGGCAGTCTTCCAAAAGTAGCAGGCGATGTGTTTTAGCGATGCATTGCCATCAGATCCAACGTATAACCCGGTGTCAACGTGAGCGAAGTGACACTCGTGCTCCTGTCTCGTGCATGATTCCTTAGCCAACCATTCCGGACAAGTAAAGTCCTTGGCTGGTTCCCCATTATAGGGGGCATCGTGACCAGTGTTTTTATGAGCAAATAGACAATGGTCTTCTATCACGCAGCACAAGGCTCTCTTCCACATAGGACAGGTAATCTGCTTGTACAATGATCCGGTGGACGTGGAACCATTGGTTGTATGTTGTGGGGATGACCTGTGTTTACCACTATCGGAAACGAGGCCATGACCGGGCGCTGAGCTGGCCATGCTAATTATTGTAAGCGCGGCAGCAACATCATCTGCGCTTCGTTTGGATTGGGCAACTGCCTTCGAAGAGATTGCAGGTTCTTGTGAGGACATGTCAGAGGCGAACTCGGCAGACTGGCCAATGTGGCGGGCAACGGATTGACTAGAACTAGGAAGAATCTCGTCTCTGAGGGAAGGTCGATCCAAGCTGCCTCTGTCCGCAATGTGATTTGGCAAACACTCCCGGCAGGTGTAGTTATCGAGGCTCTTGCTATGTTTAGACCAGTCAGCGTCAAAAATGTGCGGAGCGACTACCTACTCCCTTACCTTTGACGGGTCGTTGCGCTTGCGCACGGACTATGATAACCTGCATTACATGCGTTGCACCGCACAAGAGGTGACAAGCCGTTCCCGGGCATGTGACAAGATCTGCATATGTTCTTCTTATCAGAGGCATAAGTTAAGGGGTTTGACAAGATTGCCTCGCTCGAAGGGTGCGGGTGTCGCTCGTTCATCATCTCTCGGCGAATCCTAGGAAAGCGAGACCCTGCCGATGGCCGACCTCGATCGGTGGGAAGCACCATCAGTTCATACCCTGGCAGATCTTCCCGAGTAACAGAACCGATAAATGGCGTGGGCGTGTCCATAGAGGGCTGACGGGCAACGTCGTCTTCGTCCTGCAGAGCGCCATTGAGAGTGAGGGCGGCCGGAGAAGACTTCAAGCCTCGATGCACATTGTGGTCAGCCTGAGCATCAGCGTGCATTCCCTGCTCTGGCTCTTTTGAGGGCTTATTTTTGCCACTATGCACTGCGCAAGTAACCTCTTCTCTGAGGTTCCCTTTTCGTATCACACCATGCTCGCCATCAGTTATGCGCGGGGCACCTTTGCGCACCTCTTCATTTTTCTGACCATCTGTTCCATCCAGTTTCGAAAATAGCAGTGCACGAAAATTTGAATGCTGACTCGGTCTTTGTCTCGCACCCGAACCTTCAATACGCCCGTATGTCTGTGGTTTGTCGACGAATTTTGCCCCAGATACACCCTCTAGGCCGGCTGAATGCTGAAGAAACGAAGATTGATAAGTCGAGCCGGAAAATTTGCTAGCTCCACCATGATCATCACCATAGTGAGGTCCCATGTAACGTTTCTGCTCTCTAAAGTACTCGAATAGTCGACAGTTATCGGCTATTTCGTTCGGTGGCGGGCTCCTATTGTGGTATACGGCACGGGGGTTTGTTGGTGATTGACTCTCCAGATCCATCCCTTCGAAACTCTCGTCGACAATCGAAATTGGCACCTGACGTGGCGTGCTGGCAGCAGAAGAGCCAGTCGAGTTCGTGTAAGTCTGCCGGCTGGACGAAGAATGCCGTGTGTGGTTGGGCGACCTGCCGACAGGGATGGAGGGTAGGACTTCGACCGCATTTCGACCGTCTGCAGCCATATCGGCATATGGCAATTCTCGTTTGAGGGTATCTCATTTCAGAGCCTTGCTTCGAGCGCCACGGCCGAAGAACAACCTGGGTGGAGGATCACATTAGCAAATATAAAATATTGGACTCTGAACGACAGCGCAGCAACTGTGGGGTTTCCATATCAGGTCTTTTCAGTTATTCGGGTCTTCACTTTGTGTCGCCAGGGTTGCTGCCAGGGCCTCAGGGGCTTTCAGAGCAGCTTTCACACAGGTGATTTAACAGCACAGAGATGACGGACCGCCTGCACTCCCAGCAACCCCTGCCACCATCTCGTATCTTTGGCGATTGGTTGGGACCATAATGTACGCTGCTGCCATTGGCTCAAACATCCACAAGGTCTTCAGAAAACGAGCCCCATGTTTGCAGCGCCATACTGTTGTGGTTGTTCTACCCAAAGTCTCCAACAAAGCAGTTCCAAGTGTTGGGAATGCATCGTTCTTGCGTGACTTTGTGCTGCCAAGCCTGTGGGAGTAGGCAGGAATGCGGATGTGCATCAAGTCTTGATTCCCCTGCCGAGTGGCCCTGGTGTAGGTGCACAAAGGAACCAGGTCTCCCGACGAGCTACCACCAACGATTTTTGTCTCTCAATCTGACCTTTTACCATTGACTCATCATTGTGTTGGGAATCGGAAAAGCTTGAACGCCCATCAAAACACTGGGGACGATGCTTACCAATACTGTTGAAGCACGGATCCCACGAACAGGGGAGACCGTGCAGCCGCAGGCTTCAAACCCATTATTCGTCGGATGAACCCATATCACACACGGAGGACAATTCTCGAAACGGCTGGGCCTATGTGACCAAATCACGCAGAGGAAAAAAAAGGGCGTACTCTGTCGCTGAGGAAAGATTACCGCTCGGACGACACGATCCGCGCGACAAAGACGCTTGAAGAGTGGAGATAGGCAAGAGGCTAAAAAATAGAGGCTCGTTATGGTCGCGATAGAGTAGCGTTTGATAGCGTTGGAGCTGTAGAGACTAGACAGGGCAACACAGTGCTCCCTATCGTTCACAGAGAGAAGACGACGTAGGAAATGGTCCGATGGACAACACAATGTTCATTACGTGTAAAAAGATGATTAATAGGGCTTGGGCTGGAGGTGAAGCTTGAGGAAAGAATAGAGAAGAGACAGAGTGAGAGTGTGGACGATGATTGGTTGGAGTCTAGGAGCTGGTCTTGGAAAGTCTTGGCAAATTCTAGGCGTGGAACTTGCTTGGCCCCATTTTTATACCTGGACAGCCTTGTCCAGGGCTTACGAGGGAGGGGAGGCTACAGAGGGACTCGTACTCGGTGCAACTGGGCTTCAGCCACAAAGCACAGGTTGTGCTTGAGAAGATATTATTGATACATGTTGCCGCCGTCGAGTGTAGACTCTCCAATAGCATCCCTGAATCCATAGCCCTCAAAAATCCCGTCTCCCTCAACAACCCGCTCGGTGTCCAAGATTGTTCGATGAGTGTCGAGATCTTCCCCTTCTGCAGCTTGCGAAGTGGGATCAACATCTTCTTTCCATTTGAGAGCCATGTCGAGCCCATCAGGAATTCGTCTTTCGTCCAAGACATATCTGACCAGCTTGGCAAGCTGACTCTCATCGTACTTCCCCAGGAGAAATGCATAACCCTCCTCGGTCGGCCGGACATCACGAGCCAGCATCATCCGCCAAATTTTCTCCGCAGCCTCTTCTTCACCGTGTTGCAAGAAGCCGCATAGGACTTCGCTCCACGTTCGCTCGCTTGGTGCACACAAATTGCGTTCTATCATGGCTTCCACCACGTCCACCGCTTTTCTCAGGAAGAATCGGCTGCGGGCATAGAAGTGGATGAATCCATTGTACATGATATCATGCTTCGCGCACTCGAGAATACTCGGGTCCTGCTGTTTGATCATGTGGATGATCCAATACCATAATGCTGAGACAAGTCGCTCGTCTCGTTGGCAGAGAACGTAGGCCCAGATGGTAAACCCGAGGACCACAGGCGGAGGTTCATCGAGCTTCTTGGGGGCAGACTCGTCGACTGGGAGAGGGTTCACAATACCAAGCTTGACAAGTGGTGTCCGGTCGTAGGCTCTGTCGTAGATCGCGAGTAGATGTGATACCGATATCCCAGCGGGTAATTTGCGGTCGATTGTGCAAACAACCCTGACGATATGCATCATGTACGTTACCAAGTATGGGTACTTGTAGAGATCTTCGCGCTGGTGGATGGCAGACATAATCTCATCCAGCTTTTCCCGATTCTGACGCTCAAAACTATCTTTGAGCAAGAAAAGGTGGCTTCGTTCGTCAACGTGGATATGCTTTGCTTCCATAAATCGGAAGACTTCCCAAGCAACATCGGGCACGTTCAAGGAAATTGCTCGCTCAATAATGAGGTTATGCGCCTTCGCATCCATTGGCATACCAAGTTCGATCAATTTCGGAAGAGCCTTGAAATTACCCACAGTGTTCGATTCTTCGATGGTGTCGATCGTTATAAGCTTGGCACAGCGGTCGAGAATCCGCACCTTGTGCTCTTCCCTCTGATCTGGAGGGATGCATGAGAGGAGTTCTATGGCTCGATCAGCGTCACCAAGCTTCGTAAAGTGATCCACCATCACTAAGATCAGTCGTGGTGGCACGGGGGAGTAATTCTGGAAGAGGGTGTCTATGATGGTTTCAGATCGCTCGGCGTCGTTGTATCGTAAGAGGAGAACGAGATAGTGAAACGGCATTGTCTCCCTAGGCCAGGTCGAGATACGGGAGACGAGAGCTATTTGCTTTGCAAACAATTCTTGAAGATGATGATCGGAATCGATCTCCCCACGATAGACCATGTCCAAGTAGCAAAGACAATCGCATCGAGTTCTCCAGTCGCGAGGAACCACCGGGAGGATGGACAGCATGAGGAGTGTTCTCCGAGCACCGTCAGCCAGGCATCCGAGTAGAATGTGCGCTAGCTGGCGGCTCCTGCTGCGAGGGGGAGTCTTGAGCCAGGCTTCACGAAGCTCCTCCAAACTGCGATTGCCCACAAAAGCTTTGGCGACTTGTTTATGCACATCCAACTCTTGACGCACCTTCGCGTAATCGCCACCTTGTGGAAAAACCATCTTCTTGTACGGCTTATCCCACAGCCTACTGAATCGGTCGTCTCCAGGCAGGTTCTGTCGACCTTCCTGACATTCAAGGTTGTCACGAGCCTTCGCGCCTAGTAACTCGACAGTGTCTTGCTCGGGGAGTCCAGGTTCGAGGCCCTCGGACTCTAACGCCATAGATCTCGAGGCTGCTGGATAGGACCATGTTGTGCCTAGCCCATCAGCTGTATGCATAGGAGTTGGCGTACGACCAAGAAGTTTGCGAGAAACTGGATGGTTCAACACAACAGACGGAGCCTTCGCGATGCCGTAGATTCGATTCGAAAGTGATTGAACATCTTGGAGCCTCGCCGAGTCTTGACTATGTTGGCCATCTTTGCGTGGTCGAGGACAGACAGACTGTACTCTAGACTCCGCAGGCGGAAGAGTTACCTTGCTTGAAGAGGGAATGGATTCTGTCGGATCTTGATGTGGTTCCGCTGGATCGCCTAATTTTCCTATGTTTTCGATGGACAAAGAGGGCGACCCGTCCGGTGCCTCAACAGACACCTTAGCGAGGACGGAGGTTTGGTGGAGCGAAGCCCATCTCGTAAAGCCATGGTTGACGAAGTCGAGAGAATGCGGTTTCAATCGGGTTGCACCCCGGCTGAAGGTTGCTGGATTATTGTTCAAGCATCCTCGTAGAGTGGTGGTAGACTTATGGAACATTCAGTTTCCCGGTCATCTGGCTCGATCTCCCACGAACAGCTGAATTAGGACTGAATGGGAGGATAATGGACGTTACAGGAACTATAAGACGACAATTGTAAATGCGGACTTTGTCAAAAGATAAAACTGAGCGGCTGAACTCCTTTGCGGGCGCAGCCTTAAAGGGAAATTTTCCCGAGTCAAATGCGCTGGGACTCCTTTGACGTCGCTACCTTTGCTCTACGCAGCCACCCACAATGGTCTACCTCAGACACGGGAAGTCCTTTTCATGAAAGGACTGACAGAATAGACGGGCCCATCTCCGTCATGTCTACCACACATAGCAGCCTAGATGCTGCTGCCATCGACAGAAAAGCTCGCTTGGCGAAACTCGCATCTCTGAAGCGCAAGCAACCTGGCTCCCACTCCACTGTTTCAAGCCTACAAGAGGACAGCGATGAAAGGCACGAGGAGAAAGCGTCTGAATCTACAACTGATCAGTATCTGTCGGGCCGAAATTTCGATCTAACCACGAAAAACGCCAAACTCGGATTCGAAAATGTCCCAAATGGTGGCGACGTCGAGACCGTCGAAGAGCAGGCCGATCGCATCCTCGCATCTACTGCAGAGCAAGCTGCCAAGGATGAGCTGGAAGCAGAGAAGGGCATCGACCTGTTCAAGCTGCAGCCGAAGAAGCCAAATTGGGACTTGAAAAGAGATCTGGTGGAGAAGATGAAGGTTCTGGACGTGCGCACACAAAACGCTATTGCGCGTCTGGTGAGAGAACGCATCGAGAATGCAAAGAAACAGGCTCTGGAGAAGAAAGCTGTTCAAAGGCAGCCCGCAGCAGAGAAAGGAGACGAAGGAGAGGAGGTTGGAATCGAAGGAAACACTCTTGTTGAGAGCATACATCTACGAGAGCAGGAAGAGGAGCGAGAGGCTGCCCTGGAGGACGAAGAAGAAGATGGTATTTCATGATCGACGGCACGAGCGCCCCGACGGCGTTCGGCCCAAGCGGTGACCGAAAGCCAAGTCGACATGAGATAGGCCAACATCATTCAGTCCATGTTGCTGATCGTGTATACGGTCGAATACAGCCGATGCCATGCATCCCGCAAGAAAGGTGAATCACATTTCTCGCGACATTCTCCAGCGTCCGAGGCTCGAAAGTTGAGCGACGCTCCGCACGTCATAACGACCGCTGCATCAGACCGAAGCGTTAAAGGCGTCTAACACAACTAGTCACAAAACTTGATTTGTGTCTTGCAGCAAGCAGCACATTTGGTTAGACTGTGCTGCTCTATGGAAATGGAAACACGTAGAGATGGAAGAGGCGGCGGAAAGCCACATGGAACAGAAGGACCTGTGACAAGTTGCATCAGAAGCCATTGGTGAGAACGACTGGCCGACGAGCAGCATAAGCGAGTGCGTAATAATGAGCAATGGAATCCTAGTATCTGATCAAACAGTCGTACCACGACAGGACCAATCGCGCCGTGACGATAAACGTGCATTGCTCGTAGGGGTATGACAAGGGAGATCAGCCAGTTCATGCATCAATGTAGCCGCCAACGCCTTGCAAACCAGAATTGACAATACTTCACCACCAAATCCAAGTCCCTCCCTTTCGAAAGTACAGCATCCAACCAATTTCCAGAAGTCGAATCTCGTCGCTGACCTGTCACATATTCATCGCCTGCGTCAGAGCTAACCTCCTGCTGTACGGACTCAGGCTCCGCTCTCTTATATGGCTTCGCTCCTCTCGGCCACGCCTGACGTCTCGCTGAGGCAATCTCGGATCATAAGTGTCATCGCGGTCACACGCATTGCCCCGGAATGTTGGAGCATCATGGTCTTCATGCTCGAGAGACCGTCTCTGCTTGGTGATCTGGCTCTTGTCCATGCTTGGACTGCTAGTCCGGCTGCGATGGCTACCTCGACGCATAGAACTAGGTCGACCTCGGTCAATGGGACTGACGGTGCGATGGCGTCGGCTTTTGCGATGTGAGCCAGGCTCTCGCCTCGGAGACCGAGGCGATCTAGAGAAGGAGCTGGAAATAGAGCGGTGTTTCCTTTTCCGGGGCACTTCATTTGTTGGTGCCCTCGAGTCGTTTCGACGCGCACGACTAGCGGTGAAGTAGTCGTCACCGCGTTCCCGTGATCGAGACCGTGAACGAGAATGCGACTTGTTTGTCGATATTGTCGAAACAGAATCTGAGGAGTCTGGGGTTGGTGATCGACCCCGATCTTCTGGCTCCTGGACTAGTTTTGCTCGGCTGGCCTGGGCTTCGGCCAGTTGTTGGTCGGCCACTCCCTTGCTAGTTGAATGTTAGAAAGACAACGTTTCCGACAGTCGGAAAAAGCGTTTTCACCTGTTCAATAGATTGTTCGGAGCGTCGCTCGCTAACTTTGGCGCAAGTTTGGGATTGAGTAGTTGCTGCGTCCTTGATGGCCTGGAGGCATATGGCCGCTCCTGTACACTTGATTTGCATTCATAACTGTAGTGACGTGAACAATTGGTCAGTTCAAATGATGATCAGACTGCACAGGAGCGGCAAACATATCTTTCTTCAAGCATTTCTGGCATACAGTACTGGCTGTAGCCTTTTGTGGCCCGAGGCCGGGAAGTGTACGATAGCGATTCATTGAAGAAAACGGCTTCCCGAGGGACGGCCAAGGGAAGAAATTGACGCCAACAGTCTCACGGGTTGTAGTGAAGGCGCAGGCTTAGCGGCGGGGAGAGTGAGATGCCTGCTTTGTCAGAGGTTATATAAAGGTGGCGACGGGGAAGGCAGAGGACTCCAATATATATCGAATGTAAAGAGAAAGAGATTGGAAATGCTGATGCCTTGTGCCGATGTCGAATCTGCAACATATAAGCCTGCACAGAAGGGCCAGTCGCCAAACCGGAGCGCATGCGAAATCCGAAACGTAGCGTTCCAAGAATCTGAATCAAGCAGGTGCCGCCTTTTCAAGCCAACTGGGGAGCAGGCAGGCAGATTGACAAGGACGCCCGGAGGAAAGAAGGTGGGCGAAGCCTGATTTGGTGGTTTAGTATTCGGCGATGATGCTGGTTGGCTTATTGTCGATGTGTTCTACCTCTTTTTCTTCCCCATGCTTCACCCAAGGATTGCCGTGGCCCCGTGGTTCTTTGTTGGCGAGAGATGTGCCAGTCTCCCGTGTGTCTAGTGTAGTGGCTGAGTGGCTGAGTGGCGCTGTGGACTGTGGCAACCCCTGGCACCGCAATAACTTTTGTCCGCCCACAAGTGACAAAGTGACATGGGGAATCCTTGGCATTCTCCCTCATGGCCTGCCAGCCCTGCTTGCGCTTTTCGATGCCTCAAGACTGGCACAAGTCACGCTTTTTACAGCCTTGACCTCAGTCGTCGCTGTCCACATTTTCAAAGCTTGTGGATCTCCATTGTTCATAGACACAATGGATTGATCCAACTCCCCTACACGACGCTTTTATTTTCCTATCAAGGATCTGATATTGCTTCACTTGGTGAGCGCGCGACAACGACAACCCAAAAAAACTCCGTAATCCCTTCAAGGTGGGCGAGAGCCTTCACCAGAATTGCATTTCGTCCCTTCATATCTTGGCGGCCTTTTCACACTCACGGACCCTGCCTCCTTCGATCTCAGGTTTCAATCGCAGAGATCCCCACCAGACCATCCCACCGAATCCTACCACATCCGTCCTGCCTCCGCCTCAATACGCTCAAAGGCATTCATCATATTGCTACGCACGTTGACAACTCAAAAGACCACCTTGTCGAATCCATGGAGCCTTTTAGGTCGTGCTGTGTTGGCTCGTTCGATGAGCAAGACGTTGTGTGAGACAGCGGAAGGAAGAATTGAAGCGTCGACTCTGGCTCGTACAATTCACATTCATTTTTCAATACCAATCCTCAGCTTGATAGCCTGACTTGACGCTGTTGGATACGACGTGACGAATCTCTTTGGGCATCATGGCGTCTTCTCAGGTCGGGCCGCCTCCGGGAAAGCTGTCATTTGCGAAGGTATGTTTGATTTGATCTGCACAAGTCACCTTGTTTGGGCCTTGCTGATGTTTCCAAGGTCGCTGCAATGCGTGCTCCCGCCCTTCCTGCGCCAAACCCTAATGCTTCTGACGAGAAGAAGGGTCGTCCTGTCGAGAATGTTAATACAAAAGCTGTGCATACCAGCCTTCTCAAATCCTCAACTTCGCCGAGAACGCCCAGTGATTCACAGCCGAAGATCCTAGAAGAGCTCAGTCAGCTGGACTATCCAGCAGCTGCAATTGAAGGGCTTTCTCTAGTTGAAGATGCTAGCCTCGTATCAGGCGGCCCTCAGAGTGCGGAAAGCGGAGAATCTCTTGAAGATGATCAATCTCATCTCTCCAATTCTTCCACCAAACATCAGAGTTTTGATACCAAAAGCATGGCTTCCGTTACAACCTTTGCAATGGACGAGAAGGAGAGCATTCGTCCGGATGACAGTGCTAGTGTAAGAGCCGCAGAGGACGAAGAGACCTCAAGTGCACCAACCCGAGAAGACTTGTCAGCATCAAATACTCGTGGAACATCGCGGCCGAACATTTCTGGAGTCACCATCGCGGCTCGTCGATACCACACGTTGACTTTAACCAATCCTCCACGATTTGGAGATCTCCCCCTCCCAATCATTCAGGCAGAGACTGCCGACCGACAGCCTCGCTCAGAAGGATCGTTGGAGCAGCCTCGCGAGATACATGAACGCGCTTCATCACTCCCACTTGCGCCTGATGAGAAGCTACTGGATGCATTAGCTACCCCAAAAGATCGCCTGCCTCTGCTACAGCTGGAAGAGAAATTCCTAGCCTTTATTACAATGCCCGGGTATGTCTGCATGGTATCATTATCAAGGTGATTGACTAACAATGGCACAGAAATGATTTTCTCGACCTACCACCACAGAATTCCTTTGCCAGGCTTCTCGCACATAAACTTGCAGACTATTACTCGCTTGCCCATCACATCAATGAGGATGGCACATCTATCCGTATCTTTCGGACGCCTGACGTATCGATGTGAGTGCTCCACGTTTTTCCATTCACAAAGGCTCTTACTGATTTCTTTTGCAGGCCTACACCGCTACATGTCTTGGCCCAGTCCATCCCTGCAGGGCCTTCTCAACCTCCTTCCGCTGCGGGTTTTAAGATCATGCGCAGGGTCGGTTTGGGGCCACGGCAGGGCTCAGCTGGTGCCAGTACACCTGCGAGTTCGTCGGCTCCATCCAAAGCCACCTCGGAAGCAGGTCTCGAAACGAATAGCGAGGAGGGTATCTTGTCCCCGGTGGAAGGAACGCCGAACAAAGACAAGTCAAAACTCACAAGAGAGGAGCGAGAGGCCCAATACAAAGCTGCGCGAGATCGGATATTTGGCGATTTCCAGGAGTCGGTGACCAGTGAGAGTGCTTCGACCGGGGAGAATTCGGCGAGCATGTCGCGGTCGAGCTCGTCTAGTGGCAAGAGAAAGGCACGCAAACACAAAACTCCAAAAGACGACAGTTTTGAAGCACGATCGGCATTCATTCCCAGCTACACCCCAATGCATATGTCACATATGCAACCGCAATATCAGCCACATTACCCAGAACAGGCTTATAATGGACCATACCCAGCACCCAATGGCGCATTTGGTGGAAACATGAATTACAGCTCTACACCCACCCAAGCATATCCTAATTTCGAGTCTTCCATGTCCTACAACGGCGCTCCAATGGGTTACGGAAACAATAGCAGCCAATCTTTCAGTTCCACGGAATCATGGTCGTCGACGATGCAGACTCCTGCCTCGAACGGATACTTCAATTACTCTGCCTCCCCCACCACCTATCAGCAGGGCATTTCTCCCATGATAGCTCAAATGAACCACCAATTCATGACAACATCACATACGGGTATGCAACAGCCACAGAACTGGATGAACAATCAATTCCCGACTGCCTATCCTCAACCCCAAGGTCCGCCCACCTCTAACCTGAACGGTTGGTCTTCTTATCAGACTAATGCAGCTATGAGCAACGCAGCCAACTACGGCTATGGACAGCTCCCTACGCAAAACTTCAGTGGTAATGCGAATCAGGCATACAATGGCCAATATTCCAATTCAAGCACCTACTCCCGATCACTTTTCAACCCGCAGACTCGCTCCTTCGTTCCCAGCAATTCCTCGAGTCGCAATGGCGGACGCAGTGGACACATCAACAACAATGGCGCACGGAAGAAAAATTCGTCAGCTTCGTCAAGCCAGAGCCGGGCAAATAGCATTCCTGCCTCCAAAGCATTCGCTCCAGATGCTTCCGGAACGCCACCACCGGCTCGCGCATTCGACAAGGCACTCTCCAGTAACGTAGCGTCTCCCAAACCACCTCCAGTTAAAGAGGATTCCCTCCAACAGAAATACGGAGCACCTGCGCATCTGCCTAAGAAGCCTCCACCATCGCAGGTCCCCTCGCCCTATGACGTTGACAGTATTACCAATCCAAGCACTGGCGTAGCAGGTACGGGAGCGACAGCATAGGAGCAATAGTTTGTCAGGCAGGGGAAAGAACATGGGATTATCGGCATGAGATATGGGAACGGGCAAGGAATTGGACATGTGCTCAAGTTGGGGTGGGCGCAAAAGCGCATGGTGTTCAACTCTCGACATTTAGTCTCCTTGCCCTGGCTATTCGGGGGAGGGGGGGGGGGGGGGTGCAGGTATGCAGGTATGCAGGTATGCGGGTATGCAAAGACGGGGGTTTGTTTATGTGATGGACCGGACTCGCTTGGGTGAGGCACGGCTCAATCATGCATGTATCAGGTTTCTCTTTTGAGACGCACAAGGGGAACAAACTTGGGAGACAAGGCCAGGACCAAGAGAACCAAAATTAAGGAGTCGAAAAAGGTCTAGGTTTGCAATATCACTCCAAATAAGTGTTTAAGGATAGGGCCACATGGCTCTAGTTTGCATCATCTTTCTTTCACCTTTGTTTTTTCTTTATGTTCATCTGGATATGAGTAGAGTCTCAGCATCAGCAGTATTGCAAGCCCGAGTTCAGGCTGATAAGAACGAGGATAAGACAAGACTGCAGTCGAACAACAGGGAACCTGGTTCGTGTTGTCCTGTCTAGTTATTCATCAGTAAGCCCTTGTCGGACGGAGACCCAGAATACCGATGACGTCTAGCAGGTGAAGCAAATAGATAGATAGATAGTTAGTACCTGACAATCGCGATGCCGTGTGCCCACGTCACGCGAGGGACTCTTGCATAACGGTATGTATATCTATCTCTCTATATCCTCGGTATAGATGGAAGGTAGATAGGAGGTCGATAGGTACAAGCATGTGGGTACCTATATATATATGTGTGCCTCTCCGTAGATATATTACCTCGCAAATACCATGCGTCCCCACGTCCTGGTATCATTACTCCAGCCGACATGAGTCCAGAAACGCCCTGTCCCTCTGATTTTCCCCCTAATGCCCCCCCCTCCCTTCTACTGTGATATCCTGTCCCCTGGTTCTCGGTCTTTTTTTCCCTTGTCCTTCTTCGGCCCAATTTCCCCCTTGGAACAAAACCCATGTCCCTTGTGTTTCCCCAACCCTGAGCCCCTTTTTGTTCTGGAACAAATGCCTTTAT